CAACCATTGACTTGAAACACAATTAAGGGTCAGATGTCAGCATTGATGTTTATAAATGTAGCACCTCCTGGCATCGGTGCTGCTTGTCCACACCTTTATTCAGGGGGTTACACATGCACCCCTCCAGTCAGTTCACTGTTGTCACCATGAGATCTTAAAGGCTAATTTACCTTTCAGGACAATGCTTGATGTTACTGCTGTGCATGGCTCCGTCCACACTGCTGTGTCATCCATTCACAGATCCTTTGACAGGCGTTGCGTTGTCTTGCAATCCTCTATTTTTGTCCCTTTCATAAGGATAAGGTCGTCCTGCATCCGAGAACTCTCTATCCTTCCTAAGATGGTATCAAATTTCCACTTGAATAAGGACAGTGTGCTTCTGTCACTTTGTGCCATGTTGGTCCACCCTAAGGATGCTTTACATTCTTTGGATGTAGTCAGGGTGATTAGGATGCATTTAAATGCAGGGTCCAGGTTTCATAGATCTGCTTCCCTGTTAACGGTTTTAGAGGGCCCACATGAGGGTCTTGCAAAATCGACTGGTACGATCTCACACTGGATCTGGGAAACTATTGTGCAAGCATATGCTATCAAGCACCGAGAACACTGTTTCCAGTTACAGTGCATTCTACTAGAGAGATATTGTAAGTGCATCCTTGGCTTTCCACTATCAAGCATATGTTTGTACAGTGATCAGTGATTGTTGCTCAATTCATACATTCACCAAGCTTTACAAGGTGGATATGGCAGCATCAGCTGATGCCAGTTTTGGGTGCAATGTTCTGAAGGCAGCACTTTTACTGGCGGTTTTCTATTTCATTTATGATTGGATAGGATAGGATTTTTTGGTACCGACCATAAAAATATTTTCTCTGCATTCACTGGAAGACACAGCACCCATACTTCGCTGCTATGCCATTTGTGGCATATTATTTCACAGTTATTTCACAGTGTGTGTGTGTGTTTTTTGTCATAGAGGAGAGGTCCAGGGTTGAAAGGACAACTGATCTGCCACTAGTTCAAGGCTATTGATAGAAAGCAGAGCTTTCTCTAAAGACCAAGTACCCTGGGCTGAAAGAGTACCCAGGACTCCTCCCCAGCCTGACAGACTGGCAGCTGTCATAGAAACCTTCCACCGCATAGGCAGAAAGAATTTGCCTAACTCCCGCGCCGGACTGGAATGTCTCCACATCAGCAGGAGTTTCACCGAGTTGGTCAGGCGCATGGGGCAATCCAGAAACTGAGTTTGTTTGTCCCATGCAGCCAGACTGTTGAGTTGTATTGGCCTGCAGTGAAACTGGGCATACAGTACTGCTTTGAAAGTGGCTGTCGTCAGACCCAGAACCATCAGGCAAAAGTGAATTGAGATGTGGTTCTCTGACTTGAGGGTGTGAACTTATGAGCAGAGGCACAAAAAAGTTTGTCTTTGGGAAGAAAGACCCCGCATAGGGCTGTATCTAAGACCAGGACCAGATACTTCAAGCAATGAGTTGGATCCAATGCTAATTTATGGAGGTTGAAAACCAATCTGAATCTGCACTCAACTGGACATTTGCTAACAGGACCAGAACTAACTGATCCTGTAGGAGATCATCCAGATATCCCAATATGTGGGTACTGTGAAAACAAAGCAGAGCTAGGACTGGGGAAAACACCTTGGTGAAGACGCGAGGTGCCGTATATGGACCAAAAAGAATGGCAACAAATTGGTAATGTTGCATGCCCACAGCAAAACACAGGTAGCATTGATGAAAAGGGAAAATATAAAAGTAAATGGCTTAACTAGTCACTTGCTAGAATAGGTTTTTTTTCAGTTGTTGATCTACATTTTTTGTAGGGCAAGCAAACTTTACCAAACACCTATTTCAAGTTTAGTGGGTATTATAATTTGCATAGCAGTTTCAAATCTATGAAATTCTGATTTCTTTTTCCTGTAAGATGCTTTGTTGATCTGCAATTTCTTTGGCATTCTGATTTTTATCCATCCTCTAATTTTTGTTGCTCGGCTACTTGCCTTTTCCCTGACCAGTGACTAATGGCATAATTGGTAATAGTTGAGGCAAACCTGTTGGCTTTTTGGCTTTGACCTAAAAACATCACATATAAATTTGTATAATAATACAGGCTTCCTGATGAATGCCAGATGCACCTCAAGGGAGCCCTTACTTCTCACTGGGTGAAATAACTTTTGTACTCACCATAAAATCTTTTTCTTGGGAGTTGGGGGGGATTCAGAGTTAGTTGGGTTATACTGCAACCTACAGGAGGACTTGGACACTGCCAAACAAAAAAATGACCGCCTCCTACTCCCAGCATGCCTTGTAACAAGCAGTGCTGAGAGCAAGACCAACACACATGGCAAACAAAATGCTAGCAGGCGCAAATATACCAACAGAAAACAAAACTGGGGACTGGCTGCAGCTCATAGAACTGCCCGAAGGAACTTATGCCTAGATCAGATTAGCTCTAAACAGCCACCGGGTAAAACGTAGAGAATGTGTGAACATAACATCAGGTAGCAGTATTGCAAATCAGTTGCCTGATGTCAAATGGTCCAAAAATCACTCCCAGATCTAGTAGGGTGTGCATTGACAGGAAAGGGTGGTACCCAAACCTTAAGACCAGGAGCTTTGAATGATGATTTGTCTGAGCCACCTTGATGGTAAAACGATAAGCTGTTTTTCCTTTGCAGGGACCATCAGGGATGACAAAGGGAGAGTCAGTCTTTCTAATCGAACCAATGGCTGTGAGGTAGACATGCAGTGCACAAACTACATCCAAACAATGAAGGGAAATCTGCTTTCGATATACTGGGGCTTGACAGAGAGACGAAAGCATAATGTCCTGATTGAGAAACAAACCACTTTCATTTTCAAGTGCCGATGTAACATCTTTGTATTTTACATGAGACCTTGTATGGTTGTTGTATGTAAGCTGAAATACAGACAGAGATAAATTGAGGCACTGGAAGTGGTTAATCATTTGTATTATAATAAATTAATTTTAAAACATGTGTCAATGTCTGGCAACCTGAAAGTCCCATACATATTGGTTATGCACACTTAGCAATTTTTGGGGATGTGTTGCTTTGATTACCAGACAATCTAAAATTGTTTATATTTACCCTTAACAGGAGATTATCCAGATACGCCAACAATGGCAATGCCCTGGAAGTGTAACAAGGCAAACACAGGGACTAGAACCTTGATAAATACATGGTGTGTGGAAGATATACTGAATGGCAGCACCATGAAAGGAAAGTCCTGAGAACCCACAGCAATTTGAACGAATCGCTGATGTGCTAGAGAAATAGGGACATGCAAATATGAGCTTGATGTCTACAGAAGCCAGAAGGTCACCCTGATGAAGAGAGGCTATGACAGACAGGGTGGATTCCATGCATTTTTTTTTATGACTGAATGCAGACATTCAGGCCTTGAGAACCAAGATGGGGTGGATGGCCCCTTTTGGCTTTAGAACTGTGAAAAGTTTGGATGTCTGCTAATCAAAACGGTGACTGTTTAAATCATCTTCCTTATCTAGACATCTGAGATGCCGTGTGTCCAGGCATTCACAAAGGCTAACAGATGTCTTCCCCACTTTGGAAAGTGGGGATGTCCCTTCATGCCAAAAGGTCTTCTCCGCAGGTTTGGAAGATTTGGAGATTTGTTTGAACAAGTGTCTTGTGTTTCCGTGGTGCAGGCGACCTAGCCGCCAGCACCATTGAAATGCATGATTCTAGTCAAAAGCAGACGGGATCCATTCAGGAGAGAACATAAGGGAGCCTCCATCTGCAACCCCTCTGCCTCACGACTTCTGCCATCCAGCTGTGCTCTGATGTGAAGGGGGACTGGAAAAAGGTTGAGAAACGCTACACTAACTCATCTTCACAGTAGTGAATAGTGAATAGTGTGGAGTAAAGCTTGCCATATTTTCAGTCCAATTCCCCTAATGTTTGGCAGACTTGCATCACCACCATGGAAGATTGCAATGCAGGACTTGATAGCAAAAATAAGGCTTCAAAGAAAGTCACGCCAGTTCAACTGTAGGAACAGCTCACTGTTCGCCTAGTAATAGTGTGTCCAAGGGAATATGTGCATGGGAAAGTTTACTAGTCTTGGGGATCCTAGAGTGGTAGCAAAACTGGTGGAAATTAAGGGCTGATCCTCCATGCACAGCATAAAAAAGAGAGCCAAAATGGTCTCCCTCAGCCTGGGAATGTGACTCATCATGGGCAAACTCATCCTGCATGGATTTGTGAGACTTTTTATCAGACAGAGCTTCTGCAACCGAAGGCTCAGAGGCTGCAGGCAGGTCAGATAATGATTATGCAGGGAAAGGTGTTGTGGTATGTTTATGTCTCTACTCTGTTAGTCAGAAAATAAATTGCAATTTGGTTCATAAAATCCTGCATAACTGCAGTGAAATCCTCCCAGATAAAAGCCATGATGTTCCCTCTCATGCCCTTGAGAGAGAACACTACATGCTGCCAGAGGCAACTGACACAGCGGAACTGCTCCTATTGTGTTGGAAATCCAGAATGTTGCAACGCAAGAAGCGTCAACTTAGCAGTAATAGAAGTTAAAACCCTGAATACTCATGAACACAGATACAGATTTTTCATTGTCAAGTATGAATACCGATATTTTTTTCTCAGTACTTGCTGATACTGAATACCAATACCGTTAGTCCCATTAAGGAAGCCGGGCAGTGTGTAATGACTCGCTGCCCGGCATGGAGCCGTCTTTCTGGCCAATCAGAAAGCCAGAGGGCGGGTAATGAATCACCGCCCAGCTTCCTGATTTGCTAGCTTCCGAACTAACCAAAAAGCCGGGCGGCGAGTCATTACACGCCGCCTGGCTTACTTATGTGTTTGTATTAAATGCATGTACTTGTGTAGTTTTAGATGTGTATATGCCCAGATATGCCAAGAAAAACATTTTGCTTTTTATTTACGTAGTAAGATTTCTGAATATAGTTTTTTAATTCAGTGTTTGACTTTATTGAACACCATTCATTATTCTGCTTCTCACATCTCCTCCCCATAAAAGAGGTTTGCAGCAAGTTATTTTGCTTTAGATGTACATTTCATTTGTTGATGGTCAAGATCTGTGAGCACACAGAAACCAATGTCACCTTTTTGGAAAAAGATATGTCGTTAAATGAGGGAGGAACATTTGTTGCAGAAAAAGGCCATGAAAAAACACGGCTGAGATTGGGCTACAGAAAATGCCCAGTGCATTTCACATTTTATCCTTCAATGCCATCAGGGACCTGGCACAGTAGTGCATTTAAAGAGGTGTAAATTTAACAGCGTGGCTCATTCCTGGGAGCTGTTTCCCCAAGATTATGTGCAGAAAAAAAGTCATTAAATTAGTAAAAAAAAAATGTTCAGCATAAATCCAGTAGTACTTTCAATTGAAAAAAATAACAGTTCAAGTATGTTCAGCCTCGGTTCTCTCAGAAGAGCAAAATAGTTGGTAATTCTACTAAAATATCCATTTATTTAAAAGAAGTTCAAGGTAGCAGCTTTGTCCACAAAGTAAACCAGCAGTGGTGAAAAGGACAGTTCAGCAGCTTTAACTGCTGTACAGGTGAAAATAAAATTCCTGGGCAGAAAACGAGATTATAGCAACTCCTCTCTTTGGTTTTTGTTTTTGTGAGAGGCTTGTCCATTACGCAAAGAACCATTCTGAGGCCGGAGCAGTTTTCCCTTCTCTCTATCTGACCAGGTGTAAGCATTGTCATCGCTGTCTAGCTCGGATTCTGAATGCATCAAACTCGTGTTCTGAACTGGAGATTTCATTTTTACTCCTGTTAAGGGAAAACAAAAAGTTAAAAATGGTTTACTTAAAAGCAAAACCTATAAACTCACTTGATGGCTCCCTGCATTCAACTGTACATATAAACCTAAAGTGGAACAAAAAAACAAAACTATACAGCAATACAACCAAAGTACAGCCAAAACAATGCTAACACTGCAGCAAGAAAAAAAGGACAGTCGAGTAGATTTTAAAAATCCTCCACTGCATCCAACATCCCAGAACTCCGTATTTACAGTTGTGTGAGAAAATGTTGGCCCCCTTCCTGATTTGTCATTGTTTTGCACGTTTGTCACACTTTAATGTTTCAGATCATCAAACAAATTTAAATATTAGTCAAAGATAACACAAGTAAACACAACATGCAGTTTTTAAAGGAAGATTTTTATTATTAAGGGAAAACAAAACCCAAACCCACATGGCCCTGTGTGAAAAAGTGTTTGCCCCCTAAACCTAATAACTGGTTGGGCCACCCTTTTAGCAGCAGGAACTGCAATCAAGCGCTTGCGATAACTTGCAATGAGTCTGTTACAGCGCTGTGCAGGAATTTTGGTCCACTCATCTTTGCAGAATTGTTGTAATTCAGCCACATTGGAAGGTTTTCGAGCATGAACCGCCTTTTTAAGGTCATGCCACAGCATCTCAATAGGATTCAGGTCAGGACTTTGACTAGGCCACTCCAAAGTCTTCATTTTGTTTTTCTTCAGCCATTCAGAGGTAGACTTGCTGGTGTGTTTTGGATCATTGTCCTGCTGCAGAACCCAAGTTCGCTTCAGCTTGAGGTCACGGACAGATGGCCGCACATTATCCTTCAGGATTTTTTGGTAGACAGCAGAATTCATGGTTCCATTTATCACAGCAAGTCTTCCAGGTCCTGAAGCAGCAAAACAGCCCCCGACCATCACACTACCACCACCATATTTTACTGTTGGTATGATGTTCTTTTTCTGAAATGTGGTGTTACTCTTACGCCAGATGTAATGGGACACACACCTTCCAAAAAGTTCAACTTTTGTCTCGTCAGTCCACAGAGTATTTTCCCAAAAGTCTTGGGGATCATCAAGATGTTTTCTGGCATAACGGAGACGAGTTTTTATGTTCTTTTTGCTCAGCAGCGGTTTTCATCTTGGAACTCTGCCATGCAGGCCATTTTTGTCCAGTCTCTTTCTTATGGTGGAGTCATGAACACTGACCTAACCTGAGGCAAGTGAGGCCTGCAGTTCTTTGGATGTTGTTGTGGGGTCTTTTGTGACCTCTTGGATGCACTCTTGGGGTAATTTTGGTTGGCCGCCCACTCCTGGGAAGATTCACCACTGTTCCTTGCTTTAGCCATTTGTGGATAATGGCTCTCACTGTGGTTCGCTGGAGTTCCAAAGCTTTAGAAATGGCTTTATAACCTTTTCCAGACTGATAGATCTCAATGACTTTCTTTCTCATTTGTTCCTGGATTTCTTTGGATCTCGGCATGATGTGTAGCTTTTGAGGATCTTTTGATCTACATCACTTTGTCAGTCAAGTCTTATTTAAGTGATTTCTTGATTGTGAACAGGTGTGGCAGTAATCAGGCCTGGGTGTGGCTGGAGAAATTGAACTCAGGTATGATAAACCAGAGTTAAGTTATGTTTCAACGGGGAGGGGAGGGGGGGATAGAGGGCAAACACTTTTTCACACAGGGCCATGTGGGTTTGGATTTTGTTTTCCCTTAATAATAAAAACCTTCCTTTAAAAACTGCATGTTGTGTTTGCTTGTGTTATCTTTTACTAATATTTAAATTTGTTTGATGATCTGAAACATTAAAGTGTGACAAATGTGCAAAACAATGAAAAATCAGGAAGGGGGCCAACACTTTTTCACACAACTGTATATGTTAATTTGCCATTATAAAAAGGGATGCACCAAAATTTCATCCAGAAATTACACTTTTGCCAAAATGCCGGAAGTACAAAGACAGCCGAAAATCCAGTGTATCCCTAGCTTCTCTCCTCCCCCCTGGGTGCCGGTCTGTGTGCCTTCTGATGCAGTGGCCGGTGCCCAGCAGGGAGGAGAGAAGCTTTCAGGAGACCGAGCGGGCAGTAACAGCGGTCAGGATGCCAAGCGGTGAGAGGTGGTGCTAGCGGTCACTGTTACAGGAAGCAGAGCTCTCCTCCCACACCTTCTGCGTCAGAATGGAGAGCGGTGAGAGGAGGAGAGCGCTGTGATGTCACAGGAGGCGGAGTTCTCCCCCACCACCCGCTTGGCCTCCTGTGACCGCTAATTCAGGATGGAGAGCGGTCAATAAACACTCAGCTATCAGCTGATCGTTTGTAAATAACTGGACATAGTAAGCATACTATGTCCTAGTTATGAATATGAATGAATAAGAAGTGATCTACTTCTCTTTCTGTTCATTCATGATTGTGGACATAGTAACTCATACTATGTCCACAATGTACGAATGGACAGGAACACTCAGTACAGAGGCTCTCTGTTCATTCATAACAGAAGCTGTAGAAAAAGAGAATTAGGACTCTGTGTCCTCAATCTCCTATTCTATTTCAAAATGTGTTAGGAATACAGAACATGTCACTTTTAACTCATCTACCTAACATAAGGGGAAGATGTTTTGTAGTCCACAGAAATGAACAGGGAAGGATAATAATATTGTTTTGGATTTCAGTTTTTAATAACCCTTTAAGAACAGTCTTTGTTGGGATTAGCTTGATCTAAGCTACTGAAATCATTATCAAGTGTTTTGTACCTTATTTAAATATTTTATTACCAGTTTTGATGCTTGACTTTAGCTCCAAACTCTCTTGGTCATCAGTGGCTTCAAGGATTTTATACCTGCTCTTCCTCTTTGGTTTTCCTTTCTTTCTGTAAGGAAAGCATACATTGGTATAGCATGATACGCAGAAGCAGATTTCAGTTATGTTCCCTTCTATGGCCTTCTATCCCTGTCGATATTCAGCTCTTTTTTAGAATAAAGAATTTATTGAAAGTAAATATATTTTACATATGATAATTTATAATTTTCCCCAAAGACTATCATAAGAAAAAAAAACCCCCACACAACTATAAAAGAGGGAATCTATTGTCACTTAAGCTTTTGCCACTGTTGGTCCAGGCCTGGCCAGGAGGTAGTATGGTGGCTACATGGTCAGCTCTCTGCCCTTACAGCTCAAGGTCCTGGATTAAGATTTGTGTATTCTTCTGGTCTTAGCATTAGATTCATCTGGGTACTTCAATTTCCTTCCACAAACCAGAAACATACCGATTTGTTAATTGACTTATTACTAAACTAGTCCTAGTTTATGCATGTGTAGACTATCTGTATGTAAGAAAAATAGACTGTAAGATCCTCTGGGCTACAAGTGCTGCTATGAATGGTTCCATTTACCCGGTAAATCCCTTAATATGTAAAATGTAAAATAAAATGACATGTGGCCATTCCAAAATCCATACCCTGCAAAAACACAAAAACATTCAGGTTCCATCCTTTACATCAGAGCCCCCTGTTTATATCAGGACCCCCCTTCAAATTAGGAGACCTCTTCTTTCACATCAGAGTCACTCTTTACATCAGAAGCCCCCCTTCACATCAGAGTCCTCAGTCCCCCCTTCACTAAAAGATTCCTACCATCACAACAAAAGCCACATTTGCGGCTGTATGGCAGAGGGCGGACGCGTACCAGGCCTGGACAAAGGTGAATATCCTTTTTTGAATGGATCCCACCCTCCCGGGATTAACGTAATCATTTTCCATTGTCCTGGGGGCCACGCCATCTGCACCATGGAAAAGATGTTGTGTGAACATTTTGGGTCACCCCTGAGAAAACCAAAAGACACCCTGGCTGAGAAAGGCTGAATTAAATCATGCAGTGGCTTGCTTTGATACGGAGAGATGTTTTAAAGAATAACATTTGTAAGCACATTTACAGATATGGAATTACCAATACTTTTATCATCTCTCCTTGCTTGATGATTTTGTGACTTGCATTAAACATCTGCATGAGAAAAATAACATCTGACTGTCTGCAATAGACAAAACCACTAATCTCCTTTTTCTCAAAGTTAATGTCAGCCTCTTTATTTTGAAAATTATGTGCACAACAAACTAATTAGTGTCAATTTCTAAAAACTGAAAAGAATATTTGCTCACAGTAACCAGAGTTTAGCTTAATTTTTTCCCCCTGAAACACTAAAAGATGAAAGCAGAAATCTTTCTTATGAATCATGTTTCTCAGCCTATAGTTCAGTTTATCATGATTTATAGCAAATAGTCATGTTTTTGATAATCAGCGGACCACTTTTTACCTTTTACAGCAACAGACCATGCACCAAGTTAGCAGTCCCAATGCCACGACACAGAGAAAGCTTGTGATAATGACATATAGCACGCTCCAGTCTGCAATAGTTAAGACATTAAAGTCATTAATAATGAAAGAATAACGATTTTGGTAATGCAATAAATAAGAAACTTAAAAGGAGAACTATGGGGTTAGGGCTTTTCCCCATAGTTATCCTTAGGGTAATGGGAGGACACAAACTAGCGTCCTCCCGTCACCCTAGGCTCAGTATACCGCGAGCTACAGCTCGCGGGATACTGAGACGCCGCAATTATGTCTGGATCCGCCCAGCTGCATGAGTGACAGCTGGCTCTGCCTATCTAGAGGCAGCAATAGGAAATAATCGCTGATGTGCTGGAAAAATTGCCAGAAAGTCTCCCTGATGCAGCGAGGCTATGGCCAACTAGGTAGATTCCAAAAGGGGGTGATTTTTCCCTGTGAGGCCTAGGCTTCTTCTGCTAGTCTTACCCCCTGTAATATTCTTGATAAGGGTGTCCGAAGCAGCTCTGAATAAACAATGGGGGGAATTTTTATCAATACTGAAGCAGGCAGAATCTGGAGCAGTTCCCCCAGTTCCCAATCAGCTTATCTCTGCAGTTTGTTCAATTAAACTTTGAAAGGTAGAAGCTGATTGGTTGCCATGGAAAACTGCTTCAGATTCTGTCTGCTCCAGTTTTGATAAATTACCCCCATTGCCTTCTGAAGGGCATGCACAGTAAATGCTTTTTCCATGCTTGTTCCGCAGCCCAACATTTCAGCCCAAGAGTTATCCGCATTTTAACTAACAGAAGACTAGTTAGGTAATACAGTTGCAGTTAGCTGTTTGGCTACATATACACTTTAAACTACAGTCACACTTTAAATGGCAAAAAAACGGCATAAGTACACACAAAATACTTTATGAAACTTACCACAGTTGCTGTCTCCATCTCCAAACTGTCGACGAAAAAAATTCTCCATCCAAAAAGGGTCACAGACACAACGCTTAGTAACAGAGTTGCAGTGGCCGTGCATAGAACAATTTAACTGGCAAGCTAGGGAGGAAACACGTTGTAAGTAACTATCCAGTTTACTGCCTGAACATAGCAAAAGCATCTAAAATAAGGCAATCTTTGCAATGTCAGAAAAAGAAACCATTTTGTTTTTACTAATGAGAGAAAACTTATTAAATTCATGATGAAAAAATGCATATGTACTGAAATTATATATATATTTTAGGCCACCACCCAACCATCCCTTGTACAATGCTTCTTTTCAGCCCCCAAATATATGAGTTGTCTTAAGAAATGGTTGTGGTTTTTTTTCTGAAATATGGCTGTAATTGGCTAACGTGGACATAATTTAAGATTTAGAAATACTAGTAAAAGGTTCCAGGAGTCCAGCTGTTTACAAAACAAGAGGAAAAAACATAGTACAAAAGTATACTTTTGCTTAATTTCCGATAAAATGACTGATGAACCCTGGATGGATCTGTTTTAATAAATTGCCCCCAAAATTAAAATACATCTTCACATGGCAATGATGGAAATACTAGAATTATATCAGATTATAAAAACGAGTGCTAAACTCCGGGCACAAAAAACCCCCCCACCATTTCACCAAATAACCCTTTTGCTGCCAGAGCTGTTTTTGCATATTTAAAAAAAAACCATATACGTTAAAAAGCACATTTTAGGGCTACAAATTGCTTGATGCCCACCCCCTTATATTGTTTTCTAAAAGCGGAGCCCTTGGAGAATAAAATGGTGGCAACTGCAAGTTTTTATCACACAACAGTAGCACAACAGTTTATGAACATCCTTTTTTGGTAAAAATGCATTCAGACTCTGCGATGGCCATGACGCCTTTGGTTGATCTACTTTCAGATCATCCCTGAGCAAGTGGTTGCAATATTTACAACTCTGTGCATTTTACATTGCACTTCATGGTCAGACCACCCCATGCCATCCCCTCTCTTGGTTTGAATTGCTTTGTTGTCTTGCAGAGGCACCTACTCATTTTATCTCACTACTGTATCGGTGGAGCTGCCCGCTACTATTACTTTTTTAGACCCGTATTTTTGCCATATACAACCAAGTTATGGGAACCTTATTGGATCCTTCCCCTAAGGTAGCGCTCCTTTCTAATTTGCCTGGCTCAGTCGCTTTGATCAAGAAGGGCCCACTCCGATTGATTGTAGCGGCTGCCCGAACACTTATCCCCCGCCATTGGAATTCCATAGTTCCCCCGACCAGTCAGGAGTGGAGTGCTGAACTGTGCTACTCATCTTCATGATCGTCAACCTCAATGAATGTCCTTGTGGACCCCTTGGATTTGTACATGGATACTGCTGCATTCCAGTTGCACTATCTGAAATGCCTATGGAGCTGGGTCATGAGGGGCCCGCCTTCTACTTGTTTCTTTCTTTGCTGTTCTGTTCTTGGTCTTTTCTCTTTCTCTCTAAATTGTATCTCTCTCCTTTTTGTTGCCCTACATATGAGCTTGGCACATGCAAAAGAAATACTCTGAAGCTCCATATACATTGAAATACCTTGTTTCCCTATATTATACACTTAAGTATTTTAGGATATGGCCTGCCCCAGTTTTTTACTTGGATTTTTGGGCCACATATACATACTTTATCAACCAAATGGTTTCTGTAAATGTGTGTGCGATATTTTGGTGACAGAACCGTCATTCATTAGGATTAGGAGAACTCTCTGATATTTTAGGGGTTCATGGGTTTTAACAAGGATCAGATAATCATTGCATATTATTTTATGTTTGTGTGCAATTAACAATTCTTATAGGGGTCACGGGCTTGACTGGTTCTTGGTTTTGTTCTCGTAACACTTATACATTTTATTTCCATGAATGTTGCAATCTTATGATTGTGGTCTACCGGTAGAATAGTCTATAAACAGTAGATTTCTTTTTGGTGCTATATTTAAATAGAGAGATCGAATACATATACGACAGCTGTTTTACTTGCCATATGATTTGTATTTCTGTCCATCCAGAGATTTACATAACTCTGCCCCACCGTGCAGGACTATTTAGCAGGGGAGGGTAGCCAAACTTTCTCTGCTGCAGTTCCACTTTACCTTACAAGTTCTCTTCCCACCACCTGTCTCACCCCCGCCATGTGCTGGACATTGAGAAGCAGCAACTGATGAGCTACTCTACTTTCTCCTCCTAACGTGGGTCCTTGAACTGCAGCATAGAACTCAGAACTCTGCTGTATAGAGATTGTAACAAGCTAATAACAAGTCTAATTCAGGTATTTACATTGCTCGATTTAAAATATACCTTTAATGTTGTATTACTGAATATCGAGCTGCATGAATTTGCTTTTTTATCTGCCTGAAGTTCAGCTTTGAAATCAGTTACATTAGACTGGTTATAAAGTTAACATAACATTAGTTATAAACAAAAATAATTAATATTCAAGTAATAGGAAAGCATTGGTTACTGTATTTAAACAGCAAAAGTGGTTTTAAAGAAAGGTTCTTTGTAAATAAAGGGAATTGCACTTTTTAAGTCATCACAACTTACTGAATGTGTCAATCTCAAGTGCTCTGAAGATAAGGAAATCACTCTGCTGCTTGCGCAATTCATTGCGAAGAGTGCATGCAACCTTGTAACCTTTCATGACCGAGTGGGGGGGCTGATTCTTGACATAAAAGATCACCTTTGTGCTGTAATAGGAGGGGGAAAAAATAGTTTAAAAAACACCACTTTAGCATGCAATATTGCAAGAAGGAAACAAATAAAATTCACTAAATCAGTCACTGCCATAAATGAGAGAATCAGAAAAAGGAGTGACTAGGCATAAAAAAACCCAAAAAAGACTTGTTTGGTTTCTTTTGCAAACTGGTTTACTCAAGACTGACCTCTTCTCTGTGTAGAGTTGGATGTTCTGCACAGTAATATCAGAGTCCAGTACGCCAAGAAGAACCCCAATTTGCCTCATAAACATTCCTTTCTGTCGTTCAGTCAACTGGCTGACATTCACATCCAGAATCATTTCCACCAAGTTGTTCTTCATTGGGTCTGAAAGCAGAAATGAAACAGAGAGTGACTGTTACCAGGCAATGCTATTAAAGTGTATATAAACCCTAATAATGAACTCTTATTTGCTCCCTGTTGGTCTGTTAATTGCACCATTAAAATAGTACTTTACCTGGTACCAAGGCGCTGCCAGAAGGACCAATGCCTGAATCTGAACCAGAGGAGGCTGAGCACCCTAGAAGATGGGGGAGCCTGCCAACATGACCAGAGGGAGGGCATGTAGACCTGATGTTCAAGGCATAAATGGAAACATTACCACCGGAGGAAACATTGAACCTGAACCAGTGAGAATGTAATCAGTCAAAACTCACCAGCAAACAAGGAAAACAAAATAACTTCCCATGAAGGGAAGAGAAGACTTACAACCTGACTGATGTTCTCAACAAAAACTGGGGACAAACCTCTCAAAGAAATAGGTCCCTAGAAGGAACCTAGTACAAAATAGGTCCAGGTGAGAAAGACCAGTCAATCTAGTGGGAAGTCTCAAAGCCGAACTCGGTGTCTAAAATCGAATCTCTTTAGGTAAAACTTACCAGACAGAATTCTAAATCAGTTGAGCAAACAGCCCACAAAGGGGGGGAAATGACCCCTGAATGCTCCAGAGAACTCAGGTGTTCAAACTCTCAAAGTCAAAGTGACTGAAGGCATACAGTGCATGGAAAGCACCCCCACAAGGGTATACAGGAAGTTGAAGTTAAACCTTAACCCTAGACTGGTGAGAGAGGAGAAACTTTATAGAACTGAGGATGAAGGGAATATAAAATATATGCCCTCTAGCACACAAGAAGTGTTGCTGGGGTACTCCAGATGAACATCTAAAATCAATTTTGGCGCTTATCTATATACTTGACATTTGGGCGTTCCAGTCCAAGGGGGGTTGATCACCCTGAGATGTCTATAGTTTACTGAGAGGTTAAAAGTCAAACCACCTTAAATATGGATCTTTTCTTTAATTTTCAGGTTTATCAGCTTTGTGTACACTGTAGCTTTATTGCACAAAGTCTTCCATATCTACTTTACATATGTTTTAAAATATTTGCAACTAAACCTCTAAGTGTTTGGCTGAGGTGGTAATTGCGTTGAAATCCTGACAGGTTAACAACAAGAAAGGGGCAACACCTAATGGAGCTAAGGAAGACTCCAAAGAATGTAGAGACTTAAAGGAGAACTATGGGGTCAATGTTTTTCCCCATAGTTCTCCTTACGGTAACGGGAGGACACAAACTAGCGTCCCCCCGGGACCCCCAAGCTCAGTATACCGCGAGCTACAGCTCGCGATATGCTGAGACGCCGCACCTGGAGCGGATCCCGGCGTAGATGACGGGATCCGCCCAGCTGCATGAGTGACAGTTGGCTCTGCCTATCTAGAGGCAGAGCCAGCTGTACCCGCCCCCTCCCCCGTCCGTTCCGCCAGTCAGCGCTGGCAGATCGGAGCGGGGAGAGGGGAATCCAGCCCCTCCCCCTGTCACGGCAGAGAGCCGTGACAGGATCGAGAGGTGAGGGAACCCGGTATGTGTTCTCTCACCTCCCTATCTACTGAGCCGACCTGTGACAGTCTCATTGTCACAGGTCGGCTTAGAACTATGAGGTGAGTGGAAATCACTCATCTCATAGTTCTCCTTTAAGCAGAAAACAACGATCCAGGCTGTTGTTGTCAGGTCGTTTAGAGAGAACACTGTAGGTCGCCTTGGAACTGTTAGATCGTAAGTCCAATACATAAAGTGGGATCCAACAGATAATGTTGGATCCCAAACACAGTTAAAATCTCATACATGCAGTCTGGGAGAAGACACCATTCAAAAACTGGAGACAGCTGGAGCAGTTTGTTCGAATAGAGTGTGCCAAACTACCTTTTGGCAGGTGCAAAAGTCTCATTGAGAGCTACAGAAATCACTTGTGTTTAGCAATTACCTCTAAAGGTTGTTCAACAAAATATTAGGTTACGGGTCCTTTCATTTTTGTCCATGCCATTTTTACTTTTTTAAATGATTCAAAATATTCTGTTAATTCAAAGATCAAAACAAAGTCTGCTTTTTTTATTTAAAAGGGAATGAACATGACAGATGCCAATTACTGATTAGTTATTTCAGAAACAATTGTGGGTTCTATTTTTTTTTTTTCACTGAAAGGGTACAAATTTTTCCACATTTGTGCATATCTTAAGTTGGGCGAAATATGTCAAAGGATGGAGGATCCTGGTGAGGTTTTGTACTATATTGTGTGGTACAATAAAGCTTATTGAATGCTGGAGATATTGGAGTGTGGTTGTATTCTTTCTTCCAAGTGGTGGAATAGAGAGTGAGTGTTGGCAGATCCCTATCAGCCAGCACCCGAGTGTCAAAGAGAAAAGTTGGTCTAACTTACTTTAACCCGTTGCCACTGACTCATAGCGGCCCTTTAAGGGGATCTTAGCACGAGGATTCGTAGGAGGGCTTACCCATTATGTGATCACTGTAACTGGCTGCCACATCAGCCATATGATTGAAAGCCCATTCCACCAGCTTCTGATCGTAAATAGTGACCTGAAGATGTCAGAGACAGCTTGGTAATTGTGCTGGAAGTGTGCTCTCAGCACAGAACAGTGGACCAGCTGAGGTTACATATGTGTACAGTGTGCTTTAAGGCCTACCACTAGGGTGTTGCATGAATGCAAATGCATTCAAGTATCTTAACTATTAACAATACTGTGTTTTCTTTGTATATCACTCGGCTGTAGATCCTCAAATCATCTCTGAATTCATGCCGACAATGTCCTTTGTCGGCATGAGTAAAGAGGCTTCCTGTTGCTTCACAAACTGAGAAGGCATAGTACTCTCTCCAGTTATGAATGGACATGAAGCCTCTGTACTGAGTGCTCCTGTTCATTCATAAACTGAGCACATACTGGGCTCACTATGTCCAAACTTATAAATGAACAGTAAGTGCTTTATATCAATTCCTGTTCATTCATAACTGGGGAAGCTGGACTGATCAGCACTGATCAGCACTGATCAGTCCAATGTTTGCTCAGTACAGGGAAGGATCGTCAATTATTACACATATTTGCCGATCCTCTGCTCGGCCCGCACAGCTCTGCTCTCCATCCTGATGTGGATTTTAGAACTATTTGTATAAAGACTGAAGTAGCGATCTAAAGAATCCCAGAAGCTTGCATTTTTTGATAACGTGTTAGCCAATAAAGAGTATCACCTAAATTCGAAACCTTCTGCAATATCTAATGAATATAATACATAAATGATTTAATGGACAGCTGTAACGTGGCCTAATGTGGAAAAATGGCCTAAGGCTGACTGCTTCATGTGTTTCACTTACCTGGTTTCACCTCAACAGTTGTTCTGTCACTATCGCTCTCTCCTTTGCCATCAGTCACCTTCAAGTGAAAGGTGTAAGTCCCTTCAACAAGGTTAGAGAGGAATAGGACTGCATGGCGATCAGAGTTATTCAACACCTCCTGTAGGGAAAAAACTTGATGAGCTTTAGCAATTGTCACCTCACCTACAAACCAAACACAATATCATCTTTTTTCCATTGTCTGTAAATAATCATCTACCAGGCTTCACTTAACACACCAATCAAACAATGGCGAGACTGTGACTAAGCACTTCTAGGCGTGACTTACAGTCTACAAGGCTACAGAAATGTAAACAGTCTCATTTGCAATGCTTTCCATACACATGACCATGCAAAAAATAAATCTAAATGTAATGTAGAAAATGAGTTTATTCATCCAAACATGCAATCTAAAGTAGACAGTAGATTTGACTAACTCTAATTTTTCTGGGTCTGCAATAGGAATTGTCTGTGTTGTACACATGAAAGTGAAATAAAGAATCTGACCTTTTTCCAACACAGGTCATTTTCTTATTAAATAAATAATGTGTTCTTGCTACAGCTGAGTGTCTATGAATATCAAACTATGTTTTATATGGACCTATCTAAACTATCTACTACAATTTGTATCCAACCAGACAGGCCCTTATACCACACAGTACATTAAAAATCTAATGTGTGTGGTGAGCTTAACATTGTTTTCAAAACAATGAAAGTGTAGAGGCTAAACTAGAATAAGAGAATTGTAAAACTGAGGTTTGCATAGGGATACAACAACTTTGTGGGCTTCAAAACCTCAAGAAGCTTATGAAAGGCTTACATTATAAATCAACAGCAAACAATCTTCAGCACACTGACTAAGACTGTGCCATCAGTGTCATTGAAGGCACTATCGGGCAGGATGGATTTGTGATGGCAAAAGTGTATCTTTTAGCAGTGCTCAGTAGTGTTTTACATAAAAGAACATGCTTACATTTTGCAAAATGGTTAGAGAAGCAATTTACCCATTGGCCCTACTTACCCCAGCAGCTGGGCTATTCTCATCTCTCTCCCATTGGTAGCTAACAATTCCCTTATCATCTGAGGATTTGGAGCCATCCAACTCTGCTGTGTTAGTTGGGAGAGTAATGACAAGATTTCCTGCAATCCTTGCCACAGGCGGCTTGTTGATCTCTGCATTAAGAAATACCAAATAAGATGTCCAATAAATAGCTTTAACAGCAATCTTTTAGGATGACACCCTTAAAGTGATATTCAAGTCTTACGTTTTTTAAGCTATTTCAAATGCTAAATAAATCACTTACAATGGATGCTGCTCCTTCATGTTTAAAAGTTTTAGTTTCCTGCAGAATCAGATGGTCCCCTGAGCACAGTCCCTGATATCCTGTTTTAGGGTGGCTCCCTTCCCTTGCAGGTTCCTTTAGAGCCACCCATGTGTGTGCTAGTAAGCTGTGTGTGTCTCCACAAACACACAGGCACAGCAAGGCAAGCCACTTCCCGCTCTTCCCTCCTACAAGCTAGTGGATGGAGAGCTTCTGGAGACTGAGTTTTCTTCTGTGATCTTAAACTGGACAGGGAGTTTAGGGAAGCCAAGCTGAGAGAGTTGGAGCCAGCTGTTTAGGAACATGATAACTGTAAGTGTTTGGGCAAAACTGTATATGAATATTTGTTTGAGCTGAATTCATTATTGAAAGAAAGTTTGAGAGTTTAGTACTACTTTAATGTGAGAGATAAATGATCCTGCCTACATAGAGGGGTTATAAATCAGTATTTAAAATACCCAGCCTAACCATATGTGGAACATATAAAGTTGTTAGTACATATCCAGAGTTTTTGGGCAGCTCCACCAAATATGTCACCTTGGACACAACGTGCCCTAAAACAGAGCAGCAATGGACCGGTAATGTATTTGGTAATTTATTTGAGGGGCCCAATACGATCAGAACATTGCCTTCTACCAAGCTTCCATAGCAAAGCATTGGTATAGCTTTTAGCAATAGCGGACCATATCTTCTGCAACACTTGGGAAGGGGGTGGGGGTCAAGTGCTTATCCGAATCCCTTTTCCCATTTTAGCATATATAGGAGTTTGGTCTTATGGTTACTGGTATTGTGGGCTTCATAGTGGAAATATATAAGCTCCATGCAATGTGGGCAATTGAGGCAATAGTCCTTAAACTTGGAGATACTGCAATTTTATGGAGGTAAGGCTCATTCTAGCAAAGGGTTTTATGTCAGTAAGAGTAAGGAAGTTGCATATATATTGATGCCTAGGCTGGCCCATAAGGGAAAGATCTGAGGGTTTTCAAAACCTGGTGAGAACAAGGGGCCAGGGTATAATGCTTGCTAAAGGAAGATGCAGGTAAATTAGATTACCAGAGGTTTTTTTTTTTTCTTTTTACCATATGCCATTGTAATTGGGGGTGCTGTAAAATTAGGTCTGACGTAGTGAGACAAGAGTTTAGAGAGATCAACATCAGGTTGTAAATTGGGATGGGAGAGCAATGGACAACATCTAAGTGAGCCCACAGGGTGTTCTTTCGTTGTGTGTAGGGAGGAAAGAGGGGCTATTTGTACTCCTCTGTAGTATTTGTTATGTTTGGCAGAAAAAAGTACAGTTCAATTCCCGGAGCTAACACACTAGAATAGGGAACCTTATTTTTTAAAAGTTGACAATTCTGTTCAGCTGGATCCAATAAGATTTAAAAATTCAACATTGTACAAAATAAAATCCTTGTAAGTGTGTAAGAAAAACAATTTCAAAATAATTTCTGTAGGTAAATTAGTGAGCCCTTGTCAAAATAACCGATGCTACTAAATGTGTTCTGGGCATTTAAGTATCAATGACCATTAAAGGATTAATCGGGGGAATGAAGCCTATTAAATCAGACATTTGCATCTATGAAGCCTTTATAGGAGCAGTGATAAGTATTTACAAAAACATTTTTACAACCCTGTCTGAAGTGAACCTGTGCCCAGCCAATGCACACTAAAGTATGTACATATTCAGAACAAGCAAGAACTTAAAAACACGCCCTTACTCCCCTCTGTGGCTATAGGTCACAATTTTTTGAGTTAAGATCTACTTTTCAAATGACCGGCTCAATGAGATCTACCAACAAATGGCATTGCAACACACCTACTGCACCAGAATACAGGGTAGGTGTGATTGTGCGGTACAGTGCGTTCATCCCCAAGGAGTGTGGGATGAACTCACAGTACTAGTGTCCTCCTGCTGAGCAGACTTGCGATCGCGATCTACCTTTATTCGGTGTCCCTGCTAAGGAAATTCTCTCTCTGTCCTGATGACAAATATCACTCTCTCAGGTTAAGGTGTCCCTAAGGAACATGAATTGAAACTCAATATTTAGAGCATCTCTTTGGCTAAAATTAAAAAATCCATCTAAGATTCCAATTGTTGACCATAAATATAGATTCCAGACATTTTATTTAAATCTAAATCCTTAAGTCATTCTGAGATCAGCAAACACTCACCCTCCTTCACAATTACGCTAACAATTGCCTGATCCTGCAAGCCTCGGTCATCCTTTACAGTCAGTGTGAATTCATACTGTCCATCTTGTAGGCCAGTAACTGTAGCAATGCTGCCATTGTTGTTCTCAATTTTTATACCTTCTGGGCCCCTGAAAAAAAGAATTTTTAACAACCTGGTGACACGATCAATTAAAAATCTTTTAAAAAATGCTACAGTTGAAGGTTATAAACATTGGTTGGTGCAGCACAATCCACGCCTACTGGGAGGTGTTTTAGGGTGCTATTCAAAATGAAGCGTGCAGTAAACGCACAGGTACCATATCTTAAGCACAACACTTTGGTGTGAAACGCCCTTACCGCTATGAAGTCTCAGCAATTACCTGGAAACTATATTAGTCACAATTCAATATTAGGAAGATAGTACCTTGGTGAAGGTCTTTGTGCGGATTCCAGGCTACACTGAGCAGTTTGAACCCTTTGTTAGGACAGACAGGGTTTACATCTAGTTTAAAAATGATAATGAGATCTGCCAGCAGTGTACAGACAAGGTAATAACTTCTTTAGCCCCTTCCTTAACATTACATGGGGAGAAGCTAGGTAGGATTTTAAAGCAAGTAAAAAGCACTTCAAAAGTAAGCTGCAATTTTTTAATATTTATGCTATTTGAAAGAAGAATATGCAACAAATATAAACTAGTTGCTATAACAATTTGGCTGTAAAAGTGGAATACACTTTAAGCTTTTATTAACAACTTACATATTTTAATAAACAACATTTCTTTTCAGAGCTGTAGCTTTCCTCTGGTCACTTTTTATAAATCTGAAATATTATACATAAGGGGGAGACATCTACCAACCTTGCAAAGAAATGCGTAGAAACTTCAAGTTTGCTATAATGTAGATATTGTAACTTGGAGCCTATCAATGCTATGGGGCAAACAACAATAACTCGATATTATGCCATAGATTGCCTTAGCATGTGTTGTTAAGAAAATCAAGCCTGCGGTGACTTAAAGTGACATTAAATCCTCAGATTTTTTAACATAAAACAATACTGTAATGTGCGCCTTACTGTAATCCATGGTAGTTTCCCTTCTCTTTGCTGCTCTTCCTTTTAAATCTGTATCTGTTCTCATGCTGGGCAGAACTTCTGTTTTGCAGCAGACTGCCTTGTCTCTGAAATGGATACATGGTGTCTGTGTGTAGGTTCACAACCTGAGCCAGCACTACAGGAAGAGGCAGTCAGCTGCAAAGGGAAGTTCTCCCCCAGCATGAGAAGAGATACAGATTTGAAAGGAAGAGCAACAAAGAGAAGGGAAACTACCATGGATTACAGTAAGGCGCACATTACAGTATTGGTTTATGTAAAAAAATCTGAGGGTTTAATGTCACTTTAACTGAGGTTAGAACCTTGTTTGGTAGAGTTGGAATGAGGAGAGGGCTTGCCTTTGGAGGTAAAACAAAGCTGTGAACAATTACCACAGCCTGCAATGCCATTAGCCACCACTAGAGGAAGACTTGCGCAAATCTAGCTGGATGGAGACACATGGGCAAATACAAATAATGCATACAGTCTGGTACACTATAAGGTGGAACACTATAAGGGCTGTGTAGCAACCAAGTGATTTCCATCTTCTTCTAAGGCCTTGTTCACACCAAATGCAGAGCAGATCCGGCCAGGTTTCTGCACACGCACGCTAGTCTTTTAGATGCGTTTTTGGCTAAAAAAAAAAAAAAATGTTTAAAGTTTAAAATGGGCTTTCAGTGCGTTCCAGGCATTTGCTTGCGTTTTTGATGCATTTTTGATGCGTTTGCAGATCCAGAGCAGGTAAAATAGGGCCTGCTGCAGTTTTTCACCTGCTCTGGAACTGCACGCTGCGATGTGAACTGGAGCAAAAAATACCATTGGAATACATTGGACGCAGTTTTAATCCGGTCTGCAACTGATCTGCTCAGCACCTGCTCTGCGCTTGGTGTAAACAAGGCCTAAGATCCCCTGAACAATTCTGCAAGCTAGAATCCTTGCATGATCACTTTTCTCACTGCCCACACACACAACCACACCAGGCACATCATTTAGGGTAGCTTACCACCACCTGACATTCCACAATTAAACCTACAACTTGTGTGACAGACTAAAGCACCATATCCACAATAATAGCTTGTAAGAGAGGCAAACATCGAGCAGGTGCATAGAGATTTTCCAAAACTGGAAGTACTAATCATCTTGGGGTATCCCTGAAAAGCCTGACCAATGCTTAGGGTGTATGTTAAACCTATGAATGAACTGCTTTTGTTTGCACCCTTTTTTAAAACAAATATCATTGAAAGTGTTTTCAAAGGGTTCCTTCATCAAGGCATGTGTGAGAAATAAGACACCGCACGCCTCTGAAAAGTAGTTTAGACCCTCAATAATGTGGCTGCCATCTAACTGGCTAAAAGTTGCAAGCAAAAAGAGATCTGAATAGACATATTGTAGAATAGCCAAATCCACTGCAACTACTTTACATACAACAAAGTAAGATGTCTATTGCATAATAGAACATGTGACCTCACTGAATCTATGCACACACTGGCACAGGGGATAAAAGATCCAGCAGCAGAATTATTCTGCAGGTTCAAGGCAAAATGGTAGCATCAATCACTACCATAAAAATATCATTGACAGCTTGGGGAGACAAAAAAGACACTATTCAGTTGTCAAATAATGGAGAAAGCCTTCCAGATTTCACTTGTCCATATACGCTCAATACAACAGGTGGAACAGGCAGTGGGGAGAAACACATGGATGAAATGTGTGCAGCCCCAAGCAAATAAAAATAAAAGGCAAGCAAAATTACAGAGCACAGGGTATGGCAGCTGCAATATACTGTAAGACAGTAAACATAGGATGGAGTGCAAGCCTCTTTGATTTACTCCATTCAAAGTGTATATCCAAAAGGCTTCCCATATTTTCCCCCCTATGGCAGTTGTAGGATGCTGTGGATGAGTATGTCCATTAATTCATGGACCTCATGCTGATTGGCAACAAAATGGACACCTAGAGGTTTAAAATATACAAGCCCTACCACATACATGTTTTCATAAAGGGGCCCTGTATGGTTTCACAAGGTTGTACTAATATGGTGACTAACCTGTGAGCAACACCAAATTGTTCCTCTTTGAAATGTTCTTCATATCCTACAGTATCAAAACATTATAAAACAAAGCCTAGAGATCCAGTACAAAAACTTTTAAACCCATGTCAGAAGACCCAGGTTCATTAAAATGGTATTTTGAGAATCATTAATGAATTCTTACAGACATGGCAAGTCCACAAAGTATAAGCTACCGCTAACAGATAAAAAGATTTGGATAGAGTGGAGAAGTGTTCTGAACCCATCAGATTTTTAATGCTGGTTTTTTTCTCCAGTAGGACAGTAAACCTTGTAGGGGGGGCTGATAAAAACCTCACAAGGGGGCTAAGCTTAAGTAATTTTTTTTAAAACTGAAAATAAGCTTAGGAAAATTTCTAATGCTTAGTACAAGAAAAACATTTACAGCACAATAATGCCAGCTGCAAAATGTCAGCCGTCACCACATTACAACAAGATATTTGTCAGTGGTGTGGTGTTATCACGTCCATTTTTCCTCTTTATAAAAAAAGAAAAGCAAAAAGGCATATTTATAAAACACGGCAGTGTTTTTTACAAATATACTTTACACTTCAAATTCCAAAGAAAGCAAAGCCCTATTCAGAATAGTGAATGGAAAAAACAAAAACAAAAGAATACGGGAGTCGAACCCAGTCCCATGACCTATCAAAGTTTCGTGTGTGGCCTCTCCACCAAACTCAGTGTGGAGTAAACACTGTGGTGTCCTTCAGAGTGCAGATAGCAGTATGCGGTCTTTATAAATGGGCCCCTGTGTCTTTTAGTACTAAATCTGGGATTATAATTCCATTAAAGTGAACCTTACCTTGCCTAAAAAGGAACTAACAACTGTGCTGTAATGCAGACACCTTGCGGTACCTGCAAGTACTCGTGTTACTGCTCAAATCAATTCCTGTGTCCTGGTACAACCTCTTGCATCTTAACGCAAAGCTGTACAAAGGGCTCAAACTTCTCTAGAGTCAAAATTAAGCCCTGAATCTTCTCATTCAACTGTCAAATGTCCTCAACCTTATTTGCCTACCGAGGCTCTGACATTTATAAACACATTTGTTATCATAGGATCGTTTTAGGCAAGGTCATATTCACTTAGATTCCTGTGTGCTATGCTCTTCAGAAACCTGTTTTAGCCTTTATCATATATAAGTAAAATACAAACTTTGTTTTCTCCCAGAAATAAGAGGCAATCTTCTGATCATCAGTGCTCCGACTTCCATCTAGGGTTGTACTGTCCACTGGAAGAGTAAGCTCTTTGTCCGGGCCAGCATCAGCTTGAGGAGGCTTGTTGTTTTCTGTCAAAGAAGAACTGGTGTGAGAGATGGAATGCAATAATTTATAGAATTCCATCCTAAGTTTTAGTTATTGTATATAATAGAGGTCTTACCAGGCTGAACAATTACTGTCACCTCGCTGGTAGACTGCTGACCTGCAGAGTCTGTCACCGTGAGCTGAAACGTATAATCTCCTTCTTGAAGAGCTGACAGCTGAAGAGTTGCTGTTCTGACTCCCTGAAGAGTTAGAGAAAAGCAGTACCTACAATCAGTACTATTAAATATAAGATCCAATCTTATTTGCTATGGCAATTGAGGCCTTAGATTTAGGGTCCAACAGATGGTAAATTTCAGTGGTAACACATCTGGCAGGAAAACTGAACTTACAGGGCTAAATGCCGATGATTTAATACTATTTCTTTATCATTCTGGACCCTCCTAAACGTCTGCCACCCATAATATAGAAAAAAAAAAGGTAAATACTCCAACCTTTAAATCAACTGGCAGAAATCTGTTCTTGTGCATCCCCCAGGCCCCCAGCTACTACCCAATCCCCTTCTCCTTTGAAAATTGTATCATCAACTAAGTACCTGGGGACTGTAATAACTAAAAATACCCTTTCCTGGTGGAGAATATATCTATGTCTATATGCCTATGATCATGCCAAAATCGGATTTTTAACAGAACTAATTTCTATGTTTTCTGCTTTTGTGTGGGGCGCTTCAAGACCAAAATTAAAATTGATCACATTACAGAGGCCCAAGTAAGAGGTAGGAATGGCCCTCCCAGGCCTATTTTTATGTTACTTAGCAGGGGAGCTGAAACAACTGAGTCAGTTCGTAATGACAGTTAGTAATTTTTATTGAAACCCCTAAACTCGCATATGTTCCTTGATGGATTGTTATGGATGGAATTAACCACTGCGTGGTATAATTATTACTTTGAAGTGATGACGTTTGTTTTAAAAATGTAAAGATTGCTAAAAGTTAATAAAACATTTTTGAAAAAAAAAAGATAAACTGGGAAACCCCTAAACTCTTCTCTCACAAACTCCATTTACCAATTCCAAAGTTGTCCATCTCTGGGCAGATTGGAGGGAAACAACTGGTATCCTTTAAGGGTCTGCCTGATGATGATTTATCTTTATGGCATAATCCAATTCTTTAACACCTATGTACTATTCTACTTAAAGGAAATCTCATTGCCGCCTTATCAAATGTGTAACCATAAGGGTGCTCTACACTCCTTTACAAAGCTTCAAGAAAAGTGTAAGCTGCTTCATTCTCTTTTTGGCTTAGAGGCACAATTTAAAACTCTGAATATGTATTTATCTAACTACTCCCTAATAGACATTTCGAGATCACAGTGCCTTAAAGGGTTGGTTTCTGCTCTATACTCCCATATACATACCAACCTGAGCAAGTCTCCTCTTACAGTTAAAACTAAATCGCAGCCTCTTATGCCCACCATGTCAGAAGAAGACTGGGATGACATGTTCTCTTTTCATATGTATGTCTTACCAGCGATCAGTAACTTGTTAATCCAGCTGTATGCTATCCACCAGGCCTATCTATCAACAATACGTTTAAGTTAGGGATGTCCCGATACCGATACTAGCATCGGTATCGGGGCCGATACAGGGCAGTACTTGTACTTGTGAAAAGGCCCGATACATAGCTCCGATGCTTGCACATCGGTGTTGAATTTGTATCGCCCAACACCCGGGACATGTGGTTCCAGGCGCCGAGCAAGCAAGAGCGGGGGGCGTGGATCGGCGAGAGCGGTGACAGAGCAGGGGGCATGGAACGCTGAGAGCATGGGGCGTGGAGCGGTGACAGAACTGGACGGTGGAGCTGTGACAGGCTCTGTCACCTCCCTCAGTCTCTGTCCTCCCCGGCCGCTGCTAGTTCTTGTCACAAAGTGCTCCAAATATCATGCTTTTCTGGACAAGAATTTCACACAGTTGTAAATCAAGGAGGAATATATGACTACCCCCTGGCTTTGGCACATGCCCTGCATTCTCCATATTTTGGTTAAAGCCAGATTCAATATCACAAAAGTGTTGCCCGCCAAACAGCTTCCATTTATTTTGGCATGGCATAGCAAGAAGGGGCATAAGAAAAACTAGCGACTGGAAAAATGGCTGGCGCTATTTTATTTATTAGTGATAGGTATTCTGTTAAAGGAGAACTATGGGGTCAGTGTTTTTCCCCATAGTTCTCCTTAGGGTAACGGGAGGACACAAACTAGCGTCCTCCCGTTACCCTAGGCTCAGTATACTGAGACGCCGCAGCCGGAGTGGATCCCGACGTAGATGACGGGATCCGCCGAGCTGCGTGAGTGACGGCTGGCTCTGCCTATCTAGAGGCAGAGCCAGGTGTACCCGCCCCCTCCCCCGTCCGTTCCGCCAG